ATAAACATATATATACCTACATGTAGATGTATGTATATATATATATATATATATATATATATATATATATATATATATATATATATATATATATATATGTATATATATATATTTATATGTGTATATCTATGTATATTTTTTTGCCTGTCTGTAAGCTTTTTGATGCTTCTTAATTTTTTTGACATTATTTTTTTTATAAATTTAGTAGTTTAACAATCAAAAGTTTTTATATTTTTATCAATAGTTTTTTATTTTATTTTTATAGAAAATATTTCTAAAACACAAATTAAAAGCGTCGCATTGGTTTGGGATGGTTGTGACAGTGGTATGTTAAAAAGCATTTTGATAGTTGAAGAATTTATGATTTGATTTGAGTATTAAAAAAATTGAGTAAATTTTTTTTGATAATATTTCTAGTCAAACCACAGTGGGTTATTTGATTGATTTAGAAAAAATTTACTTATTTGAAAGTCTAAATCCAAATAAGTTTTTCAAACAATGCTGAAAAGTAAATGAGTATTTATTATATTGATTAAATTTGATGTGATTAGTGATTATCTCTTATGAAGCTGGTAAAAGTAAATGTGTTGTAAAAGTTTTAAATAAGATATTTATAAATATAATTCAATTGTAGGTTTTGTAAAAAAATTTTTTTTTCTCTCATGTTCTTTAGTGCAATCTCAATCAAGTTGTTAACACTTTTAAGTGTTTAAGGAAAAATCACTTCAAAAATTCTAAATGAAATTATAAATTCTCTGGATGAGCAAAAATATATAAGATAACACTCTAATATTTTATAGGCAAGCAAAACACAGATCATGGTATTAAGAGCACTGGTCATTTTTGTTGAACCTGGTCTTTCTGGAAAACAAAACAAAATCATGAGAAATTCCTGTAAAAAATTACAACCTTGCTACAGTATCCTACAAAACACAAAAATGGATTGTTTTCCAAACAAATAATCTTATTATGTCTATGAAATTGGTATCACAACTTAATAATACATATAAGTGATTACGAGTTTTTTTTAATACTTTAAGATTACTCTGATACTAAGGTTTTAACTTCAATATATTGCAAAAATTAGAGCAAGATTAGCCTTTCACTATATATATATGCTTATTCTTATAATGTCTATTCATTAGTGTTGTAGGAAAGGGGGTACACAATAATTTTTTAAAAATCTTTTTTTCAGGCTTCCCTGCCGTTTTTTAAATTTTTTTTTTTTACATTTTAATGATTTAGTCTGGTTTGTGCCTAGTTGGTTTGGCAAGCATACTTAAATCAGAATCTGGAAATCAAAGTCAGAAATATGTAGCTATAGGTAAGTTTCTTTTAATTAAGAAATAAACAGTTATTTAAAGTAAATTGTCACAAAAAAATGTGTTCTTCTTCTAACCACTTTTACTATTTTGCAGTTTCTAGTGAGAAATTTGCAGACAATATTTCTTACTAGAAATAAACAATTTAGGTAGTGGATACACTACATTATCTAATAGAAATTACTTGTTACAACAGTTTTTATGAGTTTAATGTTTGTAATAATCAGTTTAAAGTTTATAAATTCTAAATTTATGAATGTAAATTTATAACAATAATTTATATAAATTAACATATTAACATATTATATATTTTGTATAAAACATCAACATTTTCAGCTGGAGCTAATGTAAGCTTTAATTTAGTTAATATATTTAAAAAATCATATGAAAATTGATCAAATCAATCCAAAATTAAAAACGAAAAAAATCACCAGGTTTTTCTTGTATGGCACCCCAGATAGAATCAAATTGCATTATCTGGTGCATGTAAATAGAATATATATCTTCTGCACATCAATCATAACTGGTTATGCTGCTAGGCATGGGAGCAAAAAACAGATTTTTGTTCCAAAAACAAATGGTTCTTGATTTGAAAAAAGAAGTTGGGCGCCCTACCTGTTAAAAAGTGGAAGTACTTGGTGTAGTATCCAAGCTGGGTGTAAAAATCAAATGGACCAAAATTAAAGTTGTTTATTATGGTGAAGATAGAGTGCTACACATATTTGTTGCAAAAGAAAACTTTATATCACAAAAAATCTGTTAGCCATCAAGTAGCATTAAACATGGTTGAAAAAGCTAAATAGGAGACTCTTAAAGGGATCCCAAACCTCCAAGTCAAGTTGTATTCATATTAAAGAGAATTATAAAAAAAATGTTTTGGCTAAATATTTTTAATTAAAACAAAAAAAAAATAAATGCATTCTGTAAAAACTATTTTTTTTATTTTAGTTAAAGCTCGGCTTCTTCATTTTGTTGTAGGCCAAAAAGTCAGCATAATTTACACTGCAATCTACAGACTTGATAATTTATTAAAGCGCGTTTATTCCTAAGAGTTTTAGTACATGACGTCATTAACTTTTTTGTTTGTTTACATAATTGATCTTTTATGCAAACTGAAAAAATTAATGATACCATGTACTGAAACTCTTAGGAATAAAACACACTTGAATAAATGATCAAGTCTGTAGATTGTGACATATATTATGCCTACAACAAAACAGAGAAGCCAAGCTTCTACTATAATAAAAATGTTTTATTTTCTTAGTATACATTTATTCTTTTGTTTTAATTTAAAAACTTTAGCCCCAAAACTTTTTTTTATCATTCTTTTTAATATGAACACAACATGTCTCTGAAGTTTGGGATTCCTTTAAGGACAATATTTCAAAGTCTTAAGCACATAAGAAAATTTTAAAAGCAAACATTTTTTAACCTACATATAAAAGATAAAAAAGAAATCAGTTCGTTGAAATTAAAATTATTCTACAAGCAAAAAAAAAGGTGCAATGGGTCACATTTTTTAATACTTAAACACATTTAATAATCCATTCTTAATCATGTAGGTAATTAAATAATATTCTTAATCATATAGGTAATGAAATAATATTCTTAATCATGTTGGTAATGAAATAATACTCTTAATCATATAGGTAATGAAATATGGCCAAAAGTAATTGCAGAAGTTGTTAAATTAAAGACCTAGGTTTCAGTAATGATTGACAAGTCAAAAGCTATAAGCCAAAAATTAACACTAATAGTTTATATTTAAAGCTGTGTAGAAGGCATTAAAATGGTTTTGCTTAATATTTGGATTTCATGTATCTTGCAAGTGCTGAACCAAAAAAAGTATTTAATATTTAACATGAATGTCTTTGTTCTAAATCATTACAAAATTAAGCATAATATAAATTTTTGTTGACAATAAAATACTTGAAAAATTATTTAGTTTCTCACAACATTAGTTTTTAGAAAATTCATCTCTTGCTACCTTCCTCACTTGCTTTTTGCTGACCTACTTGCTTTTTGTGAAGCTAATCTTAATTCTACTTTTTCTATCTTTAAGATGAGCCAGTTGACAGCTATTATCTTTTGATTCAAGTCCAGTAGTCACATGCTTGGTCTGGGCATATACTAATGTATTTATTCAACTACTTAAAATCAGGTTAAAATCATCTGGCTATTCTTTTATGTAGTTTTGCTTAGTACCTCTTCACTTAAAAATGATTTTTGTCTCTTTTTTGGGATTGTGCCTCCTTTATAATCTTTAGATTTAAGCAGGTATAAGTTATTATTTAAAAATAACTTTTTGGAGAAGAACAACTCTCTGTCTTTTTTTTTTCTTTGCAAGAAATTGAGGCAAAGAGCCTGACCTTAATTTATTCTTAGATTACTAAGTTTCTTTTCAGCTTTGGATCTTTAACAAAATCATTAACAAAGACAAATCAAGCATTCTTGTATCAATCAAGCACTTATACATAGATCTGGTCTTATTACCTCCTCCAAGTAGAAGGTAGAACGCTTTGTGATAAAGATTTTCTCCAATCCAACTTCTGATTTTATATCAGCACTCTTCCTGTAATTCCAAAGAAACTTAGTCCACTATTAGACATCCAAATCTTGCTTCTTTTGCTTAAGTTGTTTCTCAGTCCTCTTCAGCTTGTGGTCTGAACATTGCTTAATTGGTCGGACAACAGTCTTACAAAAGAACTCTTTTCTATTGCAGGCTCACAAAAGAACATTCTTCAAAACCTTTTTTTTCTTCCATTTGTTTTTGGAATTTCTCTTCCTTACTCTCTAAACTATTTAACAAATTTTGTTGACAAAATCTTGCTTTCCTACTTGCTGTAAACAGCAGGCCTTGCGATAAAGCGTCGGGCAAAGTGAATTTTACATTGTCCAAGAGCGATTTTGCGTGTAGCTAGGGCTATTTAGGTAGAGCAAAAATTTTTTTGTTTGAGTATATTTAAAGATATTTTTGAGCGGAATTTTAATGAAGTAATTTACGATTATTTTAACATTTAATAAAGTATGATAAAAACCACACGCAGTTGATATAAAAGATTGAATTACAAAAAAAATTAAATATGCTCATTATTTACAAGTAGAAAAAATTCAGATTAAAAAAAAAGTTTAAATCTTTTTAAGCTACATTTTAATAAAATTATTCAGCAATAGCAAAGTTGTCGATAAAATTGAACAAAAATACTTTCTTTTAGTTTTAGATTTTTAACTTGAATAATTATTTTACCGGGGTTTGTTAGGTTTTAAAATTATTCCATAAATTTAAAAATATTTATTAACTGTTAGACGTATTTAGAGTATTTAAGAGTAATTTTGAGGAAACATAAAAATTGGTAAGCGCAAATAAAAATATTTTATTTGCGCCAAGAAATTTATTCTAACATTTTCTTTTATTTTACCATTAATAAAATTCCTTGTAAACATTAAAATCTATTCAAAATGTTTGTTAAAGTTTTTTATTAATACGAGTGATTGTGCTTATCAACCGCTTTATGAAAATAAATAAAAATAAATAAATGAAAAAATATTATATAAAATCGCTGGTAAAAATATTAGCTATTGCACAGTTTTTAATCGTACAATATTAAAATTTCCAGTTTATTACTCGCTGACTTTTTAAAAAGAAAAAATAATTATTTGAAAAACTTTAAATTACATATTTGAGAAAAAAAAAAATCAAATATTAGCATTTATAATCTTTTTTAAATGTTTAGTTATGTTTTTTATTTGTTTAGTATAGACAAAACGTGTCAAAGGTCAAGAAAATAAACAAATATTTTTACATTTTAAAAAATGAAACATTCCAAAATATTTTTAAATAATAACATTTCTACATTAACGATTTAAAGTAGTTTTGGGGTAATTAAGTAAATTGGTGCAGTTAATGTTGATAAAAGCAAATAAAAATAATTTAATGACGTCAAAAATCACGTCGTGCTTATGCGTTGTGCAATTTTTATTTATCACAAGGCCTGAAACAGGTATCTGTAGTTCCAGACCCCTCTATCTTTGACTGCTTATTGCTTATTATTAGTCTTTTTACAATTATTACAAAAGTCTTCAAATCTTTAATAAACTTTTATAACTTATTTTCTTACACTCAATGTGGATTTTTATCCTCTTCTACTACTGCTGACTTGTTATCAAAAAGGTTTCAAAACAATGTTTTTTTTAACTTGTTCTACCATACATTAGATTAAGGGGTGTAAGAAAGGCTTTGGTTCTTGACATATTAAAACTTTTTGATAAAGTTTGCTAAATTGGTTTTTTCTATAAGCTTGCTTCATGTGGTGTGTTTTTGTTATTATTGAATCATTACAATAATATAGTTGTCCTTGATAAACAACACTCTCTTTTATTTCCATTATTTTTTGGGGTACCACAAAGTTCCATCCTTGGTGTTATTTTATTCCTTATCTATATTATATGTAAATCAAGGAAAACATGAAAAAGTCAAGGAATTCAGATATCTGCAAAAGTCAGGGAATTCAGATATCTGCAAAAGTCAGGGAATTCAGATATCTGCAAAAGTCAGGGAACAATTATGGAAATTGGATTGAATTTTGGGAAAATCAGGAAGTTATCATAGAAAATGGCTTTTCATCAACCTTACTTATGTTACATAAGTTGTATATCATACATATATCAGTGTTTTCGAATTCCCTCCTATCATGTTTTCTTGACTTCATGCTTTCCTGATATACAATGTGAAGTTCTTTAAATATTCTTTCAACCACTTGTTCTTCAAATCTTCTTTTGATTTTTGACAAAAAAATACTAAAAAATACTAAAAAATCTTCTTTTTTTTTTTCAAAAAAAAAAAAAAAAAAGATTTTTAAGTTTTCTTTCTTTTGCAGCAATCATCAATTCTTACTATAAGTATTTTTTTATGTTTTATTTATTTTCAACTTTGATTTTGAACAGAAGAATCAATTTGTAAATCTTTTTTTTTAAATGTATATAAGTATTTTTTTAAAGATGTGTTGGAATATATTTTCTTAGTAGTAAATCTTAAATAATTTGAAATAAATATGATGTAAAAATAAGTGTAAAAATAAACATGCTTATAAAATTAATTTAACAATATTTTTTTTTTAAGTTTACATTTTAGAGATAGATAGATTTTAGAGATAGATTGATCCCAATAGAAATAGGGGTTGGACGCTATGTATTTTTCTTTTTCAGACTTTTTTTAATTTTTACGTTATCAAAAGACACTTTTAAGATGGCCAGAACTTCATCAATCACTTTATTACTATCCTCCAAAAAAATTTTTTAATCTTAATAATTAAGAATTTGTCTATATTTATCTAAAATATCTTAGAATTTGTCTATAATATGTATAAAATAATATTTAAAAATGTTTTAAAAGTGCTACATTATTATATTTCAAATTATATATTTAAACTAGGGATATACCAGAATTCCGGCCTGAATTTTTGTCTTTTAGATGAATTCGCTTCTGGCTGGAAATAAACTTTTTACTTTTTTTTTTTTATGACTTGTGACAGGCTGTGTAAATATATCAAAAAATCATTATCTTACAGAACTATAGGTAAACCGAGGTAAAAATACAAATGTAATTTTTGCAAATGTATTTGCAGTACTACTACTTCTGCAAATAAACTTACATTTGTATTTTTTTACCTGGGTTTACCTATTGTTCTTCATTGCTCTGTAGGATAATGATTTTCTGATTTATTTAAACAGCCTGTGTCACAAGTCATAAAAAAAAAATTAAAAAAAAAATTAAAATCCAGCTAGAACTGAGTTTAATTCCAGCCAGAAGCGAATTTAATTCCAGCCAGAAACAATCTAAAAGAAAAAAAATCTAGCCAGAATTTTAGTACATCCCAAATTTAAACAACAGCTAACATAAAAAGTCAAATAAAAGACTTTTGTAAAAATTTTTAAAAGAATGTTAAAAATGTTTTACCATATGTATTACAACATTTAAATTAATTCTTCATCTAAAATTTTATTGCTGTTAAACTTTAGTTTTCCATTACAGAGTACTTCCTAACTTGAATAAAAGCTGTGTGGAGCTTTATTGATAGTAAAAGTTGAATGTAAAAATAGTGTATATATTAACAACAAGCTACACATGTAATAATTATATGTGTAGTTTGTTGTTAATTAATCTTTAATTAAAAAGTTTTATTTTAGGTGTTATTTTAACCATATTGAGCCAGATTGCTGGCGCTACACAAATGGTTTTAGAAGAAACATTTCTTAAAGGAAAAGGTTTCAAACCATATCATGTAGGTTGTTTTTAAATTAATACATTTGCTATCAAATATAAAAATAAAGTATTACATTCATGCTCTTCCTTGTTGCAAGGTGAGTAGGAAAATGCTTTAAGATTTATAGTTTTATTTATTAAGAATAATTTTAAAAACCATTTAATTTAATGTTAATACCTTGATCTGACTAATCTTATAAATGATAGTTAGCTTAATCCTATCATTATCTGTCTGTAAGTTCACACGCAATAAATACTAAACTGTCTTTCAACAAACTTTACACACAATAATTATAAAACTAGCATTCAACAAACTTTAATGTTGATTTACTATCTACCTTATTAATATCTCAACTTGTTGATACAGAGACTGAGTTGTAATTATCTCAAAATCTTAAAATATAGTTGAGTACTTAAGATATCATAGCTTTTTGTGTGAAAATGTTTTGTTTTTTTTATTGTAGGTTGTTGGAATGGAGGGAGTTTATGGCTTTTTTTTAATGAGTGTAAGTATATTGTATTTTATATTTTAAATATGTTATATTAGATCAGGTTTGGATGAATGTGTAAAAAAGTAAATAAATTTTCTTTAAATAACAAATAGTGCAATATAATTTTTATTAATAAACTCATGTCTTATTTCCAATGCTAGATTAATTAGGGTTGGGGTTAGGGCTACAGTCCTGGGCCCCACAATGTTAGTGTTTCAAAAAAGTCAAGAAGACCTTTTTTATAGTCATTTTTATGCTGTGGTACATAAAAAGGCCTCCAAAATAAAAATAGCCCTAGTCCGGAAAAGTCAAACAAGATTTTAATAAAATTAATGCAACTTTTATTTTTATTTAAGCTAAATTATTTTATAAATAAAAAAGTTAATTTTTTTAAAACTATTTTATGCTTTGCGCAGTTTGAAAAGTTTAACATATTTGAAACAATTCTTCTTAGTAAGATGAACAAATAAAATAGTTAAATCATTGAATTACTATAGAAATTAAATTAACTAGATAGAAATCAACTAAAAAAGGTTAAAAATACTTTATGGTGAGGAAGCGAAACTGCTTCACAATATCGCTGATTATGTTAAGTGAGTGGGCTTTTTAATTTTAAATAGTATTTAAAGCAGAAAAAAGTATAACGAGTTTTTAAGAATGGCAACTGAAGCGAAAATAGTTAGAGTTAGTAAACCAATGTCTAAAAACTTTTCTTTTTATCTAATAACTTGCAATATATATTTGTGTTCTGTCATGACCTCAGGTGTGGTGCTTTATATGCAAGTTACTATGTATGCATCCATTTGCGAGTTACTTGGTTTGTGTTTAGTAAACAGAAACTTCTTATATGTTTATTTCATTATTAGTTTTGTTAACTTTGATAATTATTAATAACTTCATTGAAAACGCAATTATTATTGAGTCTTTGTTTACAAAAAAAAACATACTTTTTAAATAAAAAATAAGAATATGCTAATAAAATCTATAATTTAATATCAACTTTGAAAATTTTGACAATTTAAAAAATATATTATAAAACATTTTTTTTTTGTAAACAAATAATAGTAGTTTCAAGATTTATGGCTTTGCAGATGTGGCTCTGAGAAAGACCCATAGTATTATAATTTGTTTTGTAATATATTCTTAAAACAGGTTATGCTAGAAATTTCAAAACGTAACAAATCGTGAATAATACAATAGAATTTTTTGAACCAATAGAATTAGTTTGTTCGAAGGGTTTTAGTGTTCGCGAATATTCTTTTTATTCTTCCGCATCAAGATTTTTGAGATCATTCAAGTTATCACTGTTTCCATGTATGTCCGTAAAACAAATTTTTTGCTACATTCATAAACTTAAATGTTCTCAAATCGACTAAAAGACCTGGCCAGTTTTTCGCAAATAAATATTTCCATTGTCAGTATTCGAGAGTGATGGCTCCTGCTTCCCGACCAAGATGTCGAGAAGCAGAAGCAGGAAGGTAGATGGTAAGTGTGATATGAAAATATTATAATTTTAAAATATAAAAGTTGTATTATATATATATATATATATATATATATATATATATATATATATATATATATATATATATATAAAGAGAGAGTCTTTTTATTTGAGGGAATATTGTATTATATATATATATATATATATATATATATATATATATATATATATATATATATATATATATATATATATATATATATATATATATATATATATATATATATATATATATATATATATATATAAAGAGAGAGTCTTTTTATTTGAGGGAATATTGTATTATATATATATATATATATATATATATATATATATATATATATATATATATATATATATATATATATATATATATATATATATAGAGAGAGAGAGAGAGAGAGAGAGAGAAATACCTAAAAAAGGTTTAAATAATTTTTTTCGGGGTTCACCGATGCCATGGTAATCATCGGTTGGTGCCGTTAATAAAAAATAGTTAATAAACAGTTTTTAAATTTTTTTGTTCCTATATTGTATAAAAAAAATTTAATAGTTATATTTTTTTATACAATATAGAAAAACAAAATTAAAAAGACTCATTTTTCAAAACAATCAGCTTCAGCCAATGGTTACCATGGCTGATGCCAATTGTTTTGAAAAATGAATCTTTTTAATGTTGTGTTTCTATCTGTATAAAAAAATTAAGTTATTATTATATTTTTTATACAACATAGAAACACAAAAATTTTAAAACTAGTTTTTTTAAACTATGGGCACCAGCCGATGGTTACCATGGCATTGTTGAACCCCGAAAAAAATTATTTAAACCTTTTTTAGGTATTTCTCTCTCTCTCTCTCTCTCTCTCTCTCTCTCTCTATATATATATATATATATATATATATATATATATATATATATATATATATATATATATATATATATATATATATATATATATAATACAATATTCCCTCAAATAAAAAGACCCCAAAAAAAATTATTTAAACCTTTATTAGGTTAAATTAAATTTTTTTAACCGAATTTTACAATAATCATTGTCTATCAAAAGTCATTTTTTGTTGTCCCAAAAAAGAACTTTTTTTAAAAATATATGCTGCCACCCCCATAATGTGTTCTATATAATAAAAAAACACTGGATTTAAAATTTTTTTTAGGTAAAAAATATTTTTAAGGGGTCCCTCAAAATCATTGAACATTTAAAGAATTTCTAATATTATCAAAATAGTTATAGTAAAAGATATATAGATATCTCTATTTCTCTCTCTCTCTCTCTCTCTCTCTATATATATATATATATATATATATATATATATATATATATATATATATATATATATATATATATATATATATATATATATATATATATATATATATATAAAAAGGCTCTTGGCATCGGTCAATGGTTACCAAGACTGATGCCGAGGCCGATGCATTAGTGCTCCCCTAATTTTTTTTTGCTAAACTTCTTATCGGACATAAATATTTTCTCAAGTAAAAATATTTTCTAAATTCCTTTCAGTCAGGCAAGTATATATTTAATGAAGTTTATATTGTAAAACATATATTGCTTGTTTTATTTTATTTTTAAAGTTGAACAATTATTGCTAAAGATTGTGAAAAAGTGTAGCATTATTGAGTCAACTTAAAAATTGAAATCATTTAATGAAAAACTTGTAATTGTTAGTTTTTTTAATACCACGTATATTAGTATATATTTATAAAAAAGTTACCTAATTTCTAATACTTGTGGCTATATTTATTTCCTTGATTTCAATGCAACAAAGACATTTTTTTGTATCCACATTTATACCATTGTTCAGCGCCAACATTCAAACAACTTAATTTTGTTATCACTTTAGCAAAATTCAAACTTTCATAACTGACACATTCGTCAGTTTTTTTTATCCATACATATTTCCTTAGTCTTTTTTGAAAGAGGTTCTAATTGGTATGGATTGGTATGGAGTTATGGAGTATGGATTGGTATGGATTGATATGGATTGGTATGGATTAATATGGAGTTATGGAGTATGGATTGGTATGGATTGGTATGGAGTTATAGAGTATGGATTGGTATGGATTGGTATGAAGTTGCCAACATTTTAACCATCAAGTAATCAAAATCCAAATGCGAAATATAACAAAATTACCTTTATATCCATATGCAAATTATCAAAGTTTATCAATTTGAACTAAATTGACATTTAATAATATTTTCTAATTAAAAATTAAAGAGTTTGTCAAATGTCATAAATGCTGTGTTTACCAAAATTATTGATTAATTTAAAAAATTAAGAATTTGTAAAATGTTATTCCAATAGAAGAACAAAAATGTTATAGCAATAAACGGCTCAGATAAAACGTTCACATTGTTAACATTAAAAAAAAAAAAGGATTTAGAGTATATAATAAAGTAACCAGTGTCTTTTTTATGTATTTATTATATTTAAGTACCATAAAAATCTTAATTTTATTTAGTTCTTACGCTCTATAAAAAAATATTCTTATGTTTAGCTTGCTTTAAAGTTTATTGGAAAATCATGCAGTTGATGCGAAATGCTTATTTTAAATACAAATAAAACACAAATAATAAATACTTGTTCAAAAAAAATAAAAAATTCAGTCCAAACATTTTTTTTTAAACATTTTCTTTAATATAAGCACAACTTATATTTGCACTTTGGGATTCCTTTAAAAGCCTACAATACTTTGTTAAACCACCATATATTGTGTTAGCTTTTCTATTATCTCTTGGGAGATCAGTCTAAGTGTTGTGGGAGAAAAGTCAAACTTCATGCATAGAGTTCTTTTAGACAACAACTTCTTTTTCTCCTTTTTTTTTCCTAATTATGAAAACAAACTTTCAAATGTTTGGATAAAGATTCTGACTCTTTATATAAAACTTTACACACACCAAATTGAGGTGTTGGCATAGTGTAAGTTTTTTTTTTTTTAATATCCTTAAGTTTTTTTGTTTATACACTTGCTTATGTTACAAAATTGATTGCAGTTTTGGTAGAATAGCACTTTGTTTACCCATATATTTATATATATATATATATATATATATATAAATATATGGGTAAACAAAGTGCTATTCTACCAAAACTATATATATATATATATATATATATATATATATATATATATATATATACACATATATATATATATATATATATATATATATATATAAATATATAATTTAGTATATGGTATACATATATATATATACTTTAGTCTATGTTGCGTGTGTGTGTGTGTATATATATATATATATATATATATATATATATATATATATATATATATATATATATATATATATATATATATATATATATATATATATATATATAATTTTTCTTCGACAGCCTGTTTCTCCTTATGTAGGTTCATTAGGAAAAATGTTTAAATATCAAAAAATTCAATTTATAGAAAAAATTTCTTTCATAGGAAATTGGGAATCATTATTATCAATTATATGGTAACTGTATTTATTTTTCAACTAGAAAGTTACAGCAACTAATTAAAATTAAAAAATTAATTATAAAAAGAATTCTTTTGAATTAGGATAGTTTTAGTTTGGTCTTTTGTTTTTATAATTTTTAAAAGGTATTTGTTTTCATATCTGCATTTTAAAATTAATTCAGATTTTTTGGTTTAGTAAATTTTCTTGATACGTTTAAGTAATAATTTCAAATTTTTCTTGTAAACAAATATTTATACATTTTTTGGAAATTTTATTATAGGTAGGTGTCATTTTTAGAATAGTTTAATTAAAGTTTTATATTTTTTACTTTTAGTAGCCAAATATATTTTGACAGCATAATGTCTTTTTTGTAGAGTATTTTTTATATTTAAACGATTGTGGTTGGAGTAACTTTTTTTATTTGTTTTTGGATAATTTATTTTTGGATAATATTGTTTATCAGGGTTATTTAGTGAGAAAAGAACACATTTGTAATATATATTTTTTTGTATTTGTAAAATATTTTTTGATAAGCATTTTTCATTCGTAGGGTATTCTATTTTTTGTTTGCAATTTTTTATTAACGTAAGGAAAGTGTTTGCTATTACTTTTCCTAAGTGCAGAGACAAGTTATGTTTTTTTTTTTTGTAAATAAACATTTGAAATTAAGTTTTGAATTTATTAAAATTATCAAAACTATTTATTGAGATATTAAAAAAAAAGACATTATACTTCTGGTTGAAAGATTTTTGTTGACTCCAATAATCTGCATTGTTTTTCCGTTGTAAAGTTATCTGGTTTGAATAATAAACTTACTCCAGAGTTTTTTAAATGATTTACACAATTAGATTGGGTTTTCTCCTTTTAAAAAAAAACTACCTAAAACATTTTAGTTTAACTTTTGACAAGTAAAAAGTGTAATTAAACAAATATTACTGCTTTTCTATTTTGATTTATTTCCATTATAATATTTTGTTTTCATTTACAGTGAAATCTAATGTATTTTCTACATTTCTTACTAAATCCAAAAAAATTGTATTTTTAATTTTATGATTATCAGTATAATTTTTAAATTTACTTGAAAGTTAAAATTTTCTTATATTTATAGCACTAATGTTAGTTTTGTTTTTATGAGTTTGGCTTTTCAAGCGCTTATTTATTGATCATGTTTTCTTTATTTGTTTATAAAAGTATAGCTGGTTTCATGAAATATATAAAGGCATTCTTCTACATAAAAGTTGCAAAAAGGAATAGCATTTATTACTCAAGTTCTAGTTATTTGAAAAAACTGTTTTGTATTGGCATCATTTATTAACTACAAAAGTGCATTAATCATAACATTATTTAAAAAAATAATAAAGTCAAAGAGCCGAAACTTGCCTTCAAGAAAAAAAAAATAGCTTTAAAAATTATAAACTTTTTTGCTAATATCTCGATAAATAATTTGTTTTGGAAAGTTCAAATTAACATGAATCTTATTTTTTAAGGATTTTTTATCATATGAAATTGTCTTGGCACTTGGAGACCACTTTAAAATATATGTTTTTTTTACACATTTGCAAATTTCTGCTTCCTCATAACTTACATCATAAAACATTTTGAAATATAAACAATGATTTCCAAAATAAACTCAAATTAGACATTATTAATATAAAGTCAAACTCTAATAATTTAGTTTTCGCTGATAAAGCAAGCTATATATACCAAATTACCATATATTATCATAAAATACTTTGCAATAATTTTTCTAATAACTACAAAAGATGCAATTAATTTAGTAGGCCTAAATATTGCTTAAACAATTAATTTAGAACCTTGAATTGAATCAGTTGCAACAGTGCAAGCGTTTATTATACTAAAAGATCATAAAACAAACTCCAAAATAAACTCCATTAGTGGCTAATAGTTCCTTTAAAAAGTGAGCTTGGGCACATTAACAAAATTAAATTGGACTAAATAAGTTATATTATTAATAAAAACTTAAATTTGCAGTAGTAGAAAAATACCACTGATGTTATAAGTTGGTTTTCTAAAATTAGTAACCAAAAATGAATTCAGGTTTATACATTTTTATATTATTAATTTTTACCCCTCAATTACAGCAGAAATTTTAGATAGAATACAGAAAAATCTACACTGAAATTACAGATGACGCTGTTTGTATAATTAAATGTTGCAGAAAAATTTTACTTTATTTTAATAAGGAGATCTGGAAGAAAAAAGCCACGCATGTATGATTTGATGTAAAGTTTTAATTGAGCAGAAATTTGCAAACTTGTAGGCTTCTACACTTTAATTTCCCATGTTCATTTTAATCAATTAGTTTTGTACTGTGATGATGGTTTAATGATCATGTAAAATAAAATCAGGGCCTCAACTTGAAAAATCAAAAAAATATATATAAAAATTTTCATAAAAATTGGCTTTCTAATTGAAATAAACATTAAATTAAAAATTGTGAATTTCTTGATGTCACATTTAACTTCTCAAAAAATTCTTATAGGCTTTATAAAAAACCTAATGATGAATAATTGTATAATATAAATTCAAATCATCCCTTCTTCAAAGCAAATTCTTTTTTCAATTAACAATATATTGAAACTCTTTTAATGAAAATATTTTTAACTTATCTAAAAGTGTGTATAAAGATAATCTTAAAAAAAAAAGGATAAAAATATAAAATTTGAAACAAAAGTTGTGAAAAAGCGAAATAGAAGTATAATTTAATTCAATCTACTGTACAGCAAAAATGTTTTAACAAATATTGAAAGGGTGCTTTTAAAATTAATTTTCATCCCTATAAGAAATTGCACCAAATTTTTCACATAAATACTATGTAAGTACAAAAACTATAGAAAGAATGATAATAGGCCACAATGTTGCATTGGTTAATCAAAATGAATTCAAGTTATGAATTCATTCCTATGAATGAAAAATGCTTATCATGTAAAAAATATTATTTACATATGTGTTCTTTCCTCACTAAATAACCCTGATAAAAAGTATAACGGATTAACCAAAAACAACTGAAAAATGTTACTTTAGCCACAATCTTTTAAACATAAAAAATACTCAAAGAGATTATGCTGTCAAATTATAATTAGCAACTAAAAGAAAAAAGTCTTAAATTTAAATTAAACTGGTCTATTCTGAAAACGAGCACTGCCTATAATTACATTTCCAAAAAAATGTATACTCTGTTTGCAAGAAATATTTGAATTATTACCTGTTAACCAAAGAAAAAATCTTAAATACTTTCAAAATGCATGAAATAAAATACTTTTTAAAAAATTGAAAAAACAAAAGAAAAAAAAAACTAAAATTATTCTAATTATACAGAATTCTTTTCATAATTAATTTTTTAATTTTAATTTAGATGATGTAACTTCCTTGTTGCCAAGTAACTACAGTTATCATTACATGATAACTGTAGTTACATGTAAAGTTTCTTTTTTTAGAAAATGTCTATTTCATCCCCCTAAATGCATTCAATATCATAGAGTAGCACTTGGTTTAAAAAATTTTGGAATAAGATATAATTTTAAAGATCTTCTTCTAGTCCTTAATATTTTTAACAGATTTTTTAATATTATCAAACGCTTTTTTTTTTTTTTCTTTTTTTTTAACAGTATTCTTTATTTTCTGGGAAATCCAAATTCAATTAGTGACTGCATGCAGTTTTGTTAGAAGTAATATTTAAAAAAAAAAAAAAGTTTTGTAAAAATACTATTGATACTAAGATTAAAAAAATCCTGCAACTTTTTTTGTATTGTTTGTATTGAATGTTTATATGTAAATTTTAACTATAAGTAAATTTGTTAAAAACTGGTTAAAATTGTTAATTGAATTAATTGTTAAGTGAATACAACTATTCTGCTTCTAACAAGCTTATAATAAAAAATGTTTTCTATTTTTTTGGATTGATTTTGGATTGTAACAATGCTGATAATTTTTAACAATCAACAACCAAGTGTTGTTTTTTTTTGTTTTTTTTTCGTAAAAAGTTTGTCATTAATATAGCTGCTCTGTGTTCCGTTACTTTTGGAATCTGTAGTCATCTCCTTTGGTCTATATATATAGACCAAAGGAGATGACATCAGATTCCAAAAGAATTTTATAATTTGATATTAAAACTGATGTCTGAATAACTTTTTTAGTGTCGTCTGTTAAGTATCAATGTTATCAGATTTGTACTTGTCAATGTTCTTCAACAATTCATAATTCATTTTAAAAAGCAAATATTGCAGATGGTTCTGTAAATCAGACTTTTACATACAGATGAACTGTGTATATCAAATGTTGTGGTTTCATGATGTTTTTTTTTTTTTTGTCATTTTTAATTGACTTTTTGGCATTTTTATTTTAAGAGTATAGAAAGATTTGCTATTCATAATGCTCTATGAAGACTAAAGCTTTAAATGATACACTAGAAATGCTACTCACAAAATTAAAAGTTCAACTATTCTTTATAACCATCATGCGGTTGAATTTCTTGTAGTTGATTTTCAGCATATGCAGTCATATCTTTGGCAATAACAAAGACACAGTTGTATTTGACATCATTAAAGAGTTCTCTGTTTTAACACAAAAATTTCACTTTACCACTGAAGCCTTTTAACAGTTTCTTGTCCCAGTAGATAGTTATTAGATAATTATTAATTTCTGCGAAAGTTTAAAAAATTTTCAAAGTTAAATAAAAGTTTTATATAATCAATTGTCTATGTTATAAATTTTAAATTTTTATTATAAATTTATTTTAAATTTTAAATAATTCTGAGCTTGATATATTGTACAATTTTTTAATTATTCCTTAAACAGATTGTTCTTGTTGTAATGCAATACGTCCCAGGACCTCAGCCTGGAAACAGTTTTGACAATACTTATGATGCTTTGATCATGATTAAAAATAGCTCTACACTCACTGCACTTTCTTGTAAGTTTTTGAAAGTCAAAGTTTTTTTCTTACACTATTATGATTAGATTTTCAATAATGGGTTTATCAACACATTAATATAAATTAAAGCAAAGAGTTGATCTTTTGTAATATATGTATATGATATTTAATATATTTTTTAAATTATTAAGGAAGTATATAAAAAAAGTGTAAAAAATGTATAAAGTATTTTATACATTTTTTTATACTTTTGCAAAGGGTCAACAAAATCTGTATATGTTTTATTTATGATTATTTGTGTTTGTAATTTTAATAAATAAAATGTTTAATTTGTGTTAAGGTTTGTATTATCAATATATCTTAATTAAATAGTTAAAAGAAGTTAAAATATTAATTTTAAGTTAAAAAAAGAGATTTTGTTAGACTCTTGGTTTTATCAAAAAAAACTTTGTTTTGGTTTTGGTAATTACCAAATTATATTTGGTAATTATCTAATTATAATTGGAGATTTATAGCGATTGAAGAAAACCAAAGTGATGAATTTGATTTGATTTTCAGCTGTCAAGAAGAAATAAAAGTTTTGAATTTATAAATTTATATAAAAGAGTACATTTGTTATCAAAACCAATTACAGACAAAACACAGTGGCAGTGAGTACAAATTAATAGCAATTAAATTTAAGGAAAATATTTAATAGTTTACGAATAAGATATTTATCTTTCAAAGAGTTTGTTAGATTTATAAGATATTCATGAGAATTCTTTTATGAGATTGAAATTACATTTGATGATAATCGTTTACAAATAAATTTAATATAACTAGTATATTCTTGTTTTCGAAATAATTTATATTCATAATTAGATATAAATTATTTCGAACATGGCGAGGGTATTAAAGAAGAGTACAACATACTGACTAGAAGTATTTAAAAGATAGAAGTAATAAACACCACAGATCTGTAATTCTTTTACTTGGCTCTACTAGCAGTAAGCTTGATATTATTGTCGCCATAAAATGTCAATTCTAATTTAATTATAAACGCTACTTTTTTTTAAATTTTAAGCATATAGAAAATATATTTTAGTTATGTAAATAAGTCCAAAAATGTTGTTAACATACAAAAGTTTTGTTGAAATGATTCGAAATAGTTTTAGGAAAACTTATTTGAGAATGTTGATTAGCTTTATTAAAATTTACAAAATCATTTTTAGTCGTCTATTTGTTATCAATTGCATTCTTTAATTACTTTGGATTGTCAGTTACTCGTTCTATGACAGGTATTATGTAATTTTTTTTATTTTTGCATGTAACATTTTAAAATTAGTTCTATTATTGCAAAATCTTTTATTGTGTTATTTTTTAGCTGTGCATCGAACTTTTCTCGACGCATGTCGCTCAGTTATTATTTGGTTGTGTAGTATAATAGTATACCATTCAACTAATGGGGTTTGTGATTAAGTTATAAAATACTGCATATATTTGCTACTTTTTTTAATTTCTTGTTTACAAAGTTGTAAAGATATTAAAAAGACGGAATTTCTACACGCATTTTAGTACTATTTTTAAACAATTCAGTTTAAACTGACACTGTATTATGAAATCTTTTGTATTTTATCATGCTTTATAGACCTGCTCAAGTTTTTTTTTTAGAAATATGGTGAGAAGTTTGACGATGATTATGGTTTACTTCAGAGTAAGCTTTGTTTCTTGTGTTTTTTTGATTTATATTGAAAATGAAATCCTGTGTTTTTTTTAATATATTGATCTATAGAGAAGTTTTTCGTTTTTCAAATTTTTTTTTTGGTATAGCAAAAAAAAATTTGAGAAACGAAAAACGTTAGGATGGACTGCGCCAGCAGAAAAAAAAGTTTGGAAGGTTTTTTTTTTTTTTTTGCCAGCAGCCCGCTGCTGGCGCAGTCCTTCCAAACTTTTTTTATGATAATATCTTAGTTGATTGTATAAAAAAGGTTAGAGAGAAACGAACCACCAAAATCTTTGAAAAATCATGCAGTCAGTTTAATTAATACTAATTACCAAAAATTATATTTGACTTTTATAAAAAATGTAGTTTATGTTAAAATTAATGTAGTTTAAATTAATGTAGTTAATGTACTTTATTTGGTTTTAAACTTTTTTCTTTATTTTAATTAGTATTGAAATCAATTGATATGTAAATTATTGAGACGATAAAAATTGGTTTTAAAAACTGGACCTTAATTAAATTTATTTTACAAGGCTAATCCGTTTTATCCTCACTAAGTGCTTCTACAGAACAGTAACTGTCATTTTAAGACTTATTTATAAAAATTTATAAGTCCCAAAAGTCCTAAAAATTAGATTTAAAAAGTAGATATTAAAATAGATTAAAACGTTATCCCTTTTAGTTGATGGGTTTCTACTTTTGTTAATTGGAACTGCAATATACAACCAGTTGTTTGATTTCTCATGGATCCCGTGCATAAAAAGAATAGAATATAAAATACACTCGAATGAGCAACATTCGAAGGTTTTTAGTTTTTTTATATTTTGTATATTTATAATTGAAATTGTTTTTTTTATCAAAGATAAATTAATACTTAAAAATGATTTTAGGTAATTAACAGCGATTATGAAAAATGCAATGCAGCTGATAATGAAACTAATGAGCACGAAGAAATAAGTCCGATCTACCATGGTTTCTTAGATGATTAGAATTACCATGGTTTGTTGATGGTGTGACACATTCGGGCAAGCAAACGCGCTCACACCTAGGAACACTCGGATGCACACAAAAACTCTCGCTTACATTCATAGATTTTTAGTATCCAATTTTGATAAAAGTTCTTGAAACTCTTATAAATTTTATGTTTTTGTGAGTGATTGTTTTATTGTTCAAATTATCCATGGCACATTTTAAATTGTGTACATTAGTACATACATCCATAAATGCATTATCCATACATAGAACTTAACAACATAAACCATACATATATGCATTATCCATACATATAACTTGCGCATAGTAAACTTTATTAAAATTGATTTAAATTATGTAATTTATTAGACAAATTTGTCGAAGTTGAATCAAAATCATAATAAACATTTTTTTATATCAAAGTTTTTGTGCATATTTTTATTTGCGCTCACATTAACACTTCGATTAAGAAGGCAACTGGAAACCGTCTTATTTATCAGTTTTCCCTTAAATCTTTTCAGTGACAACAGCGCAAGTTGATTTAATTTCTTGTTAAAAAAAGTATCAACTTTTCTAGTTATGTTATCGGTGCAATATAAATGATGTAGTGCACCTAAATAAAAGGCAAACGAGTAAAAAAATAGATTCATTGTCAGTCGAAAATCTTGCTTGGTTTCAAGTTCTGTCAAATATCTAGCTCAACTTCAGATTTAAATATTAAAAAAATTACTGTGAATGGAGAATGGGAACAAGAAACCCTAACTTCTTACCCTTCCCCCCCCCTCCTCCTGCCCCGTGAAAGCAACAAGTTGATGAAATATTTTTTGTATTATTTTCAACTTAACTTATATTTATTTATAAATTTTAAATTTCAGGGTAAAATATTTTAGTGTTCAAAAATTGTGACCGTATAAAGTTATTTGTGCGGCCGTGGCGTAGTGGAAACCACGCTTGCTTAAGAAGCAGGAGATCTAGGTTCGAAACGAGCTTTGGAGATATTTTCGCGTCATGGTAAGGAAGGAGGCGCGAACTTCCTGCTTAAATGCACTTCCGCGGTGCTCTATGATAAGACCGTTAGGTCTTCTTGGGGCACCTAAATAACGGGAGAAAAAAAAGTTTCAATTTGAAGGGGTTGAAAATTTTATTTAATCTTAATTTTTGAGCACTAAAATATTTTACTATAAAATTTGAAACTGATTATTACAATGACGTAATTATATAACTAGATGCGTGACTCGCAGGTTTTGCGTATATTTTAATGATGCTAGTTTATCGTCCGTCATTTTGCGGTACGGCTAAAACATAAAATGCGACTATAAAAATAAAGAATTATTCATCTCAATAATAACTAGTCATGAAATTTTGATTAATTTTTTATTATTTTAATAAATTAAATTTGATTTGATTAATTAAGCATCTATAAAAAATAATTTTTATTATATATCTTTTTTTTTTTTTTTTTTCAATTATTTTAGGTGCCCCAAGAAGTCCTTACGGTCTTATCACAGAGCACCGCGGATAAGCCTTTAATTAGAAGTTCACACCTCCTTCTAATGCAACGTCGCAAAACTTGCCTAGAGGTGGGGTTTGAACCATGGATCCTTTGTACTGAGGCAAGTGCACTACCATTGTGCTACGGCTGCTTTTCAATTTATATATATATATATATATATATATATATATATATATATGTGTGTGTATATATATATATATATATATATATATATATATATATATATATATATATATATATATATATATATATATATATACACACAGAGCCGTAACCACGTAGGCTAGGAAGCCCGAAAAAATGGGCCGGCTAGGCTCCCTCCCCCCCCAAAAAAAAATAACTATTAAACTATAATTATTAAGGAAAAACATATATTTTATAGGGCTTTTCTCCTGCTAAGTTTGGGTCTCTCCCTATCTCTGGGCCCCTTAAATAGGTACCTAAATAAATAAAAAAAAAGTTTTTAATATGTAGTATGTGCCCCCATAATATGAAAGTTGTGGTTACGGCTCTGATACAATTAAAAACGAAAAAGAAAATACTTTCATTATGGAACTTTCATTATGAGCCATATATTAGTCTTCATAGACTTCTACGAGTTGAAGTAACAAAAAATTTCTTGTCTTTTTTTTTACTTTTTTTATTTTTATTCTTTTATTTTTAAAAAATACTGTTAGTTTTTATGATAAGAAACATCATTAATTTACGCTATACCTAGTTATACTTGTTAAACCACTTTTTATGTTATACGTGGTAATATTATTTACGTTGCATTATATTATGTCATGTAGTTATAACGTAACGATGTGGAAATTTAATGAAGTTGTAAAATAAAAAAATAAAAATTAATAAATAATACAAAATTAAAAATAAAAACGTTAAAGTTACAATTAGAATTACGGTGGCGTGACTCCATGGAAACAACGTTTTCTCCATGACTCCATGGAAACAAAGTTTTGAAAGTATAACGTAACGTAAACGTGACGTAAACCATTACCTACCCTAATGGCTTTTATGATTAAAGCGATTTCGGTATTTATAGAGATGATGAAATCATAAACGCAAGATAATTTGGTATAATCCACCTTGATAATTTGGTATAATCCACGCAAGATAATTTGGTATAATCAGTGCAAATGTTGTAACAAAAATAGGAAAATGTTTTTTGAACCTCATCTATCTCCATTTTCCACTTAACCACAGACTTCGTAAAATATTTAATCGAAACACAATCAAAATAAGTTATTCCTGCATGCCAAACATTAAATCCATAATCAACTCTCACAAAAAAAAACATTTTACGTAAGGAGTCAAAAATTTATAAAAGAAATGCAATTGCATTGACAAATCCAAATGTCAAATGAACAACCATTGCCTTTCCAACAACATTGTTTATCAGGCCACCATTTATTCAAACAATCCAGGATATGAAGAAAAAGTGTATTTTGGACTCAGTAAAACATCGATACGCAAACCATTTAAAATCTTTTAATGCGATTAAATATAAGAATTGCACAGAGTTACCAAATGAAGTATCGAAATTAAAAGAAAAAAACTTAACACCTTTTGTCAGATTGAAGATTATTAAGCAATCCAAACGATACAACATCAAGAGTTTACAACCTATGTTTGAACAAGAAGTGTCAAATTTTGATGCATAAAGGAGATAACCTACTTAACAGAGTAGGAACAAAAATAATTTCCTTATTTCCTCATTTAATACCGAAGATTGATCCTGGTTGGTTTAGGTCACGTTTAAGTTACGTTATACTTTTAAAATTTTTAAAATTTTGTTTCCATGGAGTCATTAGAACTCACGCCACCGTAATTCTAGTTACAATTTTAAAGTTTTTATTTTTAATTTTGTAATATATGGCTGATGATTGCCTAACGGAAAACATCAGCCATTTTAAGTATTTTAAAAAAAGTATTTTCTTTTTCAAAGTTCCATAATAAAAGTATTTGCTTTTTCGTTTTTAATCATAAATCATGAAATTTATATATAATTAAAATAATTTTCCTAAATATTGAGCACTTTTCAACGAACAAGAGTTTTGTATTTTTTTAATACAACACTTCATCAAACTATCTATTAGACTGGCGCAGATGTATTTTAATACATTGTTTCCAGTTTAGGATGTTGAATGCTGGATCTTCTTGATTCGATGCATGGGTTTTGCTTGAATCTCTTTTTTATGACTAGGCAACTCATTCTATTATCTCCTAATGAGGATACAGCTCTAAAACTCAGTTTTATGGTTCTGAGGCCGGCTGATAGTCTGGTTTCCCGAACTCTGTGGTAGCTCTCAGATTTTATCAACAGCTGTAAAATATCAAAGTATTAACAGTGCCATGTTGCGCATGGATGGTGTCACTGTTTGTACTTTTGGTGTGCATTGCCAAGGCCACATTGGAGCCCTTTGTTACGGCTTAGGGTTTATTAGTGGAAATGAGGCGATTGCTTGGGCTATAAAACAGTGTACTGAGTACTATCTATGTTTCGAGTCAAGTTCTTAAACAAATTTAAAAATGAATAAAGTAATAAAAACTATAAAACACAAAAAACCACAGTCATCACCAAGTTTGCTAAACCTATCATTCACCAATATTCGTGGTCTTCGAAGTAACTTTTTTTCTGTTGAGTCTTATTTCTTGCAAAGTTCACCAGACCTACTTGCTCTTTGTGAGACTAATTTGAGTTCTTCTGTCTCATCTTGTGATCTTAGTGTTGATGGTTATCTTCCTTTAATTCGTAAAGACTGCAATAGTCACATACTTGGCCTGGGCATTTACATTCGTAAGAATTCACCTGTTTGTCGGGAAACTAGGTTTGAATCCACAGACTACTCTTTTATGTTGTTTAGTTTAGCACCACTTCACTCTATCACCTTTCTCTATATTCTATATCGCTCTTCTTCATCTCAAGACTGCACTCTACTTGATGTTACTTCTGATCATATTAACCAAGCCCTCTCTCTTTATCCATCAGCCAATATTGTTGTTGTCAGTGACTTTAATGCTCATCACACTGAATGGCTTGGCTCTAGAGTCAGTGACTCTGCAGACATTAAAGCCCATAACTTTTGCCTTTATCATTCCCTAACTCAAATAGTCAACTTTCCAACTCGTTTTCCAGAAAACCCAAATCATTTACCTTCTCTACTCGACTTGTGTCTTGTTTTTGATCCTAGTCAGTGCTCAGTTTCTCCACATTCACCCATAGGTGCTTCTGATCACAGTTTAATCTCTCTAAAACTATTATCTCATTCTTCTTTATCATCAGAATTTCCCTATCATCGAACATCTTATAACTACCTTAAAGCTGACTGGGACTCTTTCTGTGATTTTCTTCGTGATGGCCCTTGAGTAGAAATCTTTCGTCTTCCTGTTGACAAATCTTACATAACTTTGTGGATTCAGGCTGGCATGGAATCCTTTATTCTCTCTCGACAATTCCAGGTCAAGCCTCACTCTTTTCCATGGTTTTCCATTGCGCTGCTGCAATTGCCAATCGAAACCATTACTTCCATATCTATCAGCAAAACAATTCTCCAGTAAACAGACGTCTGTTTATAACTGCTAGGAACCATTGTAAAAAAGTTTTATCTTACGCCAAAGCCCGCTATTCCCAGATCATAAAATCTCGTATTTCTTCTAAAAAACTAGGC